AGTAAAAATAAATACTATTAATAGGCCATCCCTCGCATGTATGCGGAGCCGCTGATGAAAGGAGAAGGCAGCGGCAAAGGGACAGCCTGCATTAACTTTCTCCTTTCTCCCTCCCTTCCCCTCCTTTGGAAAAGGGCTGGTGCAAGATGCTCCCAGCCAGCTGCAAACAGCTGCAAGATCCTGCCCTGCTCGGCGCGGTCCCCCTCGCAGAGTCAATCTCCCCCTCTCCGAGTCGTGCAGCCGAGGTGTGAAGGTCGGGTGGGGGGAGGATTTGCCCGCAACCCCCACCGCCAGCATCACCCCTTCCCGCATGCAGCCCAGCCCGGGGGGCAGCTGCCACCGCCGGGGGGTTGTTGTTTTACCTGGCTTTAATGCTCGAGGATCAGCTTGCTTCCCCCCGTTTTTATTTTTTTCCTTCCCAGTCCTTCCAGTCCTTGGTGTTAAGCCTCATTCCTCGGTGAGCATTGCTAATAACGTTGGCAGATAGCTGGCATCGACTTGCACTTAATATTCCTGCCCCATTGGATCTGCTGATAAATCTCAACTCTGACGTCAAAGTCTTCACTTATATTCATGATCCAAGTCTGTGAATCAGAGCCGCTGTGATCAGAATAACAACAAGGCTGGCTCCCTGCTCCACATCCACATCCACACCCGCAGGCACGAGGGGCTGCGCGCACCCGCACGCACCCCTGCACGCACCCCTGCACGCACCCATGCACGCACCCGCCCCGCCGTTCATTCATCAGCTCTCCCGCCACCCCGACGCACCTCCCCAAGGTCGGGGCCCTCCGCACCTGCGTTCTGCGGATGCAGTTTGGGTGCCAGCCAGGCCCCGGCGCCTCGCAAAGGCGGCCGGGCAAGGTTTATTTTTACCGCTTGTGCCGAGGGACGCGGGGATCTGAAGGGAGGGAGGGGGGGGGCAATCCGGCGTGGTGTGGCTCGGCTGCCCCGCTCTTCAAGGGCAATGCCCAGGGACAGCAGTGCCGGTCCCCCTGCACCCCCAGAAGCCGGCAGCTGGGGGTCTTCAGGGGACACCGTGCAACCAGGCTGGGGCAGATGCATCGCCCCGCGGGGGGAGACGTCGCACCCCAGAGCCTGCGCCCCGCACGGGTTCCTTTCAGCCAGTTTAAAAGCTGGGATGAGGAGGACTGACACCCGGGAGCTTCGCGTGGGCTGCCCAGCCCAGCACCAACCCTCCTGCGCCGGGGGACCTGCCCGAGGATGATGGCTGCGGGGGTCTGTCCCCATCCCCGCACCGCAGCACCCACCCCTCCCACCAAGGTTTCCTTCCCGACTATTTGGGAAAGGATCTGCCTGGAAAGGTACAAATCCCAAAAGCACGATTATTTTTTCCGGCCACAAATGGCTCTGTGATTCAGAGAAGGAGCAGGATCTTCAAAGCAGGGATGCTCAGCTCCCGTGTCGGCAATACTTCAGCTACACCTTCTCCCCCCTTTCCTACTGGTTTCATAACACTCCAGCTTCACTCCTTCATCCCCCTCTCTCTTCCAGGCTGTAGCTATGCAGCGCAGCGAGCTCGATGCCGGGAAGGATTTCCAGTTCCTGATGTGCAAAGATATTTAGGTGAGTAACGGTGGTTTTGGCTGAACCCAGTCGCCCCAGTTAGGAGCATCTGGGTTCTTAATCAGGCCAAGCCCCGTCCCAGGGGACTAGAATCGTCATCTACCTGGGGCCACCGGCCGCGTGACTGAGCGCCGTTGTGTGCCGAGTGACATGAGCAGCATGAAAAGGGGCGGAGGAAATCTGAGCGAAGAGCTGAATGAATTCGCTCCCGCTCCCAGTAATTACGCACCGCCTGGGAACGGGGAGGCGGGTGAGGAGCTCTGATTGACTCCCATCGGCAGCTGCCTCTGCCAGGAGGTGGGTGCAGAATTCGGGCTGGACCGAGCTGCTGCGGCAGAGGGGATGTGGCGGCCGTGCGGGGCGCTCTGCGGGGACACAGCCCACCCAGGGCCCCCGGGGTGCAACGAGTGCGGGCAGCCTCAGCCCAGGCAGGCTGATGGGCCACCAGCAGCTGCAGGTGTGAGCAGGGACGGCCCTGTTGTCCCAAATGGATCTGCTGGGGGCTGCCAAATCCCCCACCTGGCAGAGGGGAGGCTGCTGCAGCTCCGGGGTCCCCAGGTCCAGCCAGCAGCGAGGCTGAGCAGGGATGGGCACACGCAGACACGCTGTGCATCCACCCAGTAAGTGCCCTCAGACACCCAGTTGCCCCAGTGTGGCCCTTGGATCCCTTCATCCGTAGCTGCCCCTTGCAGCACCCCAAGGGGGCTCAGGTGACCCCAAACCCCCTCTTCTACCAGCGGCTGGCTTGGACCTCCCGCTGCCTCCAGCATCCAACCCCTCCTGCAGTCTCACGCACCCTGGTGTCTCGGTTGATCCCCAGGCCCCCTGGTGGCCCTGGTGGTCCCAAACCACCCTGCTGCCTCCCTTCCCCACCTCCAGTTCCTCCTCTCAACATCCCACCACAAGTTCGGTGCAATCCCAGGCTGTTTTTCCCACGTCCCGCAGCGAGTACCGGACCCCGCAGGTGTTATCCCCCTCCGCTCAAGAGGTGCCTCCTTTCCGCGCACCCATCAGAACGGGCTTCTCGCCCGGCAATCGGGGCTGCTTGCCCTCCTGCAACAGCCCCAGGAGGAGCAGCTCCACATCTCCAATGAGGTTTTTAGGAGTTTCACCACCTGGCTGTGCCCCCCAGCACATGCCAGGGATCTCAGGGCTACGCCAACACATCTCCAGCCCCCTCTCTTGTTTGTCCCATACCGAGGAGAACATAGAATCATAGAATGGTTTGGGTTGGAAGGGACTTTGAAGATCATCTTGTTCCCACGCCCCTGCCCTGGGCAGGGACACCTCCCACCAGCCCAGGTTGCTCCAAGCCCTGTCCAATCTGGCCTTGAACACCTCCAGGGATGGGACCTCAACAACTTCTCTGGGCAACCTGTTCATAGAATTGTTGAGGTTGGAAGGGACCTTTAAGATCATCGAGTCCAACCATTAACCTACCCTGACAAACCCACCGCTAAACCATGTCCCCAAGTGCCACATCTACCCTTTTTTTTAAACACCTCCAGGGATGGCGACTCCACCCCTTCCCTGGGCAGCCTATTCCAATGTTTAATAACCCTTCCAGTGAAAAAAATGTTTCCTAATATCCAATCTAAACCTCGTCTGACATAACTTGAACCCATTTCCTCTCATCCTATCACTTGTCATCAGGGAGAAGAGGTCAGCCCCCACCTCTCTACACCCTCCTTTCAGGTAAACCATCCTCTGTGCCGGCCACACAATGGGGTACGTGATTATTTCTCTATCAGCTGGGAGTCATTTTGGGATGCCCCTAGCCCCTCTCAGCGGTGCTGGTGCCTGCGCTGGGCGATGAGCGGCAGTGGAGGGGCTGCCAGCATCCGGCAGCCGCACGGGGGCCAGCGTGTCTGTCCATCTGTCTGAAAGGGGAAATTCCCGGGGCCGGGACAACCGCGGCTGCTGGGGCACTCCAGGAGCATCATGGTTTCCTTAAGCCTTCCACCGGTGACAAAAATGACATTATGTGGCCATTTTTAAACCAAGGCACATTGCCTCCAGAGCTGCCCCGATGGCAAGCGACGCCGCATCCGTGAGAGTGCGCCACTGCACATCGTATTTGTAATATTTGAGCATCTGCCTTTCATAGTTGCACATATAACGGTCTGAGCTCCCCGGGTATCTACAAGAACTTTTT